TCTTTTTTACAAATTTTAAGTTTTTTCCTCCATCCACCACACCCGTACCCCCCCCCCCCCCCCCCGNGCAAATTACTTTTTTTTGAATTTCAAACTTCTGTGTACCTCCCCCCCACCCACCCCAACCTCGCACAAAAAAAAAGTAATTTTTTAATTTTTGTTTTTTCGTTTTTCTGCGGTTCGGAAGTTTATGAAATTTGTGGGTTCGGAAGGTTGTTGGTTCGAAAGTTTATAGCTTCATGTTTATTGTATCTATTATTTAGAATACTCTTGATAAGTTATTTTCCTTAATTTGCATACCAAACACCGAAAAACGAATAAGATTACTACTTGTTTTCCAAGAAAAAATAATTTCTTGGAAAACATTTTCTACAGAAAATATTTTCCGTTTTACCAAACGCACCCTAACAGTAGCCTTAATTTGAATTATATGTATATGTATATGTATATATATACCTTGTGTTTGTTCTCTCCTTGCTAAAATCATTTGATATTGTAGCTATTGCGGCGTTAGATAAGTTAATAAATTCCACGACTATAATAAACATAATCATGCCATAATCTAGCTAGCTAATGCAAATTGCTTTAAGCAAATACGATTATTCTCTAATAAAGTGGATTTAGCTTAATTTTTTTGATTAATTTCACGTATAGTCGCTAAATTTTACCCATCATAATTGTAGATTTACAAAACTATTTTTTATCACACTAAATTAACTTAACCTTATTCGGCACTACAATATTAAAAGTCAAAAGTATTTATTGTCATGTTAACATAATTGAACTATGTGCCAATCACTCCTAAATTTATGATGCTGGATTTATGACATGTCTGTTGCTACATTAGGGCTTTGCCACTTTGTATATATTACGTCAGAAATAAAAATAATAATTGTCGTTCTACTCATCAATTTTTTAACAAGAGGTGACTAAAAACTTTTTAATACAAGAAAAAATTTCGATAACCGTATAGAATTCTTTCACTTCTAAAGAAAAACAAAATTCTACCCCTTTCTATATTTTAGTTGTTTTTCCTTATCTTTTTGTTTTATATAAATATTTTTAATTGCCCTTCGTTTAAATATATGGGAAGTCGATATTCTTGCATGATTGGATATCTTTTACAGTGGTGAAGCGCAAACGTGGCGAGTAACGTACCATAAACCAACCAGCATTTGTATATTTTGAACAATGTACATATAATTAGTTATCTTAATGTGACGAAAGTAGTTTTATAACTTTCCTGCAATGTGAATTAGGTAATTTCAATCTAGTTAATGTGACAAAAAAAAATTCTGTTACTTTGGTATTGTTATAGTAGATAAAGCAGATACATGAAATTAACCCTCGATTTCCTAATGTGTGTATTCATCATTTAGTAGATATTGCGATGTATATATAATTAACCGACAATATTTCCAATAAGCATATAATTAATTAAGCATCAAGCTTTTCTTGAATGATTGTGCACCCATATCACTAATAATTTGATTGATTTGCTTAGACATTTAACCCTATGTGGTTGATTCTTGTCATTCACGAACTATTAAAAAGGAAAAGAGCGAAAAGAACAAAAACAGGAGCTTTGGCAATAGATATGATTAAGCTTGATCTGGAACTTAATTGCATGAATATTCAATGGCTATGGAGAGATGATTCATGGGGCTGATTAGACAACATTAATATGGTGGAAGACAAAGCTTTTGGTATTTCGCACTTTCTTTTCAAAAGCTTCTTATTTCTTTTTTACGTTTTTGTTTATTGCTTCAACTAGTACCAGAGATGGTAATCTTTTACAATATTGGATTGAAAAGAATTTTAGTAGTACTACCATATATTGAATCATATGGTCAACCCAACTTACTAAGATTGAGACGTATAATAAGTGAGATTTCCCGTTCATTACATTACAAAACACAACTATATTGTGTCTGTCGCGATTTGGAATTTTCACTTTCGGGACCGTGATGGCGCCTAATATTTCACTTGCTAGGCAAGCCAACGTTAGAGGATTTTTAAGCCAATTTTTTAACCAATTCAACTCAGTAGAACCAATTAAACAGAAATGAAGTTCAAATAAAGTACGAAATAGCGTAATAAACCAATATCTAATACAACTCGGATCTGGAGTCACAAGTTCACGAGCTTCTAGAATTTCTACAAACAGAGTTTGAAATAAGTACAACTGTCTCGAATGAAAAGAGCGGTAAATAGGGGAAATGGAAGG